GTCAATACAAAATGTTGTTGTCAATCCCGAAATACAGTTTTCCTAGTTAATCTTCAAAAATCATGATATGACCGTATATGTCATAGTCTGTCTTCTAACAAACATCTTCACAAATTGCAGGTATGTTTAAACAAGCTAGTATGTTGTTATTTAAAATCACAAATCCAAAATTGTTTGTACTTTCGTTTAGCCTACTATTCGAATTTAACATTAAAGTACAAGTTGTTAGAGACCACTTGTTGTGAACTTGACTAACTTGAAATATTAAATTCTCTGTTAATACATAAGAGCGAATATCCCAAGAAATGTTAGTTTAATAGGGTTTGGAAAATTTGAGTTTTGTGATAGTACTCTTACTGCTGAACAGTTGTCAGAATAGAGTCATTACATAATCAATTACAAGCGATGTGCCGGAAAAATACAATAAGTACGAAGGGGCTATGCAACTCGAGAACTGCCATGTAAAATCTGCCCGACGACCTACAAACGACAGTGCATATTATAAATACAATAATAGTGGCACAGAATGCACATTACGCTACATACACATACACATGCCATTGTTCATTGTTTGTTTTACGTTATTTATTTACTGAATCGATATTTTAGACACCGTTTTATTTTCCTTTACTACTTAATTGTAGTCAAAATAACGTGAAGGAAACTATACCCAAGAGAGCTATAAAGTGTACTTGATTTGGGGTCTCGGTGGGTATTTAATGTATAAATTAAGACAAAGAATATATGTTCCAGCATTCCCACATATTTTTAATCGAAACAGTTGGCGTTGAGATTAGCTGATTTGTGTACACAACATTCAGAATTTGTAAATTGAATAAATCTGTTCTTTTATATATTTCGGAAATGTATGTCTAAACAAGCTAGTATCTTGGTATTCAAATCACAAATCCCAAATCGAAATTTAGCATTTAAAAGAACACGATCCAATCTACTGTTTTTATGATTGTATTTGCAAATAAAATAGTTAACCTTAAAGCAACATTGCTTGTAGACAGATACAATTGTCTATCAGAAAATTGTATGGTATTAAGTTATCATCTGGGGTTACTTCACGTTATGCTTATATACAATTTATATATTTTCAACATATGTTGCCCGAATATTTTCAAACTTTTCCCTGCCAAACGAATTTCTACAAAAAATATAAATTTTACAAAACAACTTCAAAAGTGGGACATAAATGTCATCACACCATAGTATCTATAATTCACTTACGTTATGTGTTTCCGTTTTTGAGACGGACAATTGATTTAAAAGTTCCTATATTACGTGATTACGTATGATTAGAATAGGCATGCTGATAAAGTATCGCCTAGGACAAATTGAAGACAGCGAATTTGGTCGAATTGGGAGAGTTTACGCTAAACCTGAAAGCCTGCTCTGATAAGTCCGAGCGACTCTACTTGTAAATATAAGTAAATATTGTTTGCTGCCAAATGTTCCTGTATAACTGTTTGCGAGTTAGAACTGTTATAACACTAGATCGCAGTGGATTCGAGACTCAAAATATAATGGGAGTGGTTTCAAACCCTGATTCAAGGATAAGAAGCTATAGCCGAGTGGATGAAGAAAAAAACATGGCAATGAGTCGTAGTTATTCTTCTCAAACGTGCGTAACGTTGTCGTCAAATAAAGGCAACTTCCTGTATCACCTCGTTTATCGTCACCATAGGATGAACACATTCTCAATAATGTTATCAAGTCATTCGTGCCTGGGAATGTTTTATCTCATAAAAAAAAAAATTGTAAGCAACATAACTATAAACTATAACTTTTTTACTTATTGTATCTTATGATATGAAACCTGTCTACGCGTTTATGACTGTGTCTACATATATGACTTAAATATAACCCCTGATTTCCAGTACGATGTCATCCTGTGACTTCCAGTATAACCTGAGGATCACTCATATCAGACTAGGTTATAATTGTCAACATATATTTTGTGTCATCCATTATTGATATGAAATATCATTAATTATTCACATATTTCCCTCGGTGGTTTAGCTTATTGCCACCAAATCCAAGAAACTTCATATCCTAAATGAAGCACATGCAAATCAAGAATACCATCAGATTGTAATTAAGATTATACGAACATTGTATAAAGATAAATTTGACCTTTTTATGCGAAGAATATACAAATCATTTTCTCTTTTACTTTAGCTTACCTGTGATAATTATCTTAAATCCCTTTTCAGTTACCAGAGAATCAGTCTCGAATATTATAGATACTTCGTTGCTAAGTGATGTAAAGTTTGGCGGTCCAGAGTCACCAGACCATGCTCCAATATTATTAGTCCCATCATTGATTAGTAACACATCATATATTTCTTGCGTATGAAAATCTACAACATTCACAACGAGGCTATTTCCAGGATTGGTTGTGATGGTCCAATGACAGACGAGATAATCTTCATAATTAGATGGATAACGAGGACTAGTGATTGTTTGTTCCTGGCCTTCATTTATGTTATAGTTCTCCCCACAAGTATCTGTCAAAAATCATATACATTTTAATTAGTGAATGGATTATATATATTGTTATTTCCTACTTCTATTATTACAGAGAACTGTTAAGTGACTAATAGTCAGTGTGGCACATGTATGTGTAAAAAGTGCTATTCTCCTCTGTGGTCATCCATAAATAACAGATTACGATTTGCTATATTCTAAATGATTGACAACTAGTTGCAGACACTATTCATTTATAAGGACATGATCCATTTGAAGGGCCATTACATGTCATTATATATGTAGTTTATTGAGATAATTGATAACAATAAAAAAGTCACCTATGACCAAGCATAGGTGGGTGATTACTAAAGCTTGTAATGTTTTTTTTATATTGTTGCTAGATATTAACAATTAATAACCGTTCATAATTTAAGAACTATACATACCTACTTGCTTTTTAACCAACTTCTAGAAAACATAAAAACAATAGAATAAAATAGTAAATATCAACATGTATACAGAACATACTTTATAGACAGTGTATTTGTGTGGCGTGTGTGATGCTTCAGATGATGAAACTCATAAACGAAATCGAACATGTATCACTGCATCTCAATGAAAGCAAAACATCAATAAATAAAGCCTACAACAACTTTAAAATAAAAAAGTCGAAATGAAATATACAATGTTACCTCAGAACACGACAGTTTACAGATAATAACGTTGCAGTTTTGCTTGGCAAATACATCTCAGTATTCAAATAATATGAAATTTCAAATCAATTTCAAAATATACATTAATTAGTTTGAACAAAAATAAACATTTACTGTCACGTACATTTTAACAGCATGCAAACTTTACACAGATTGATACCACAATATTGTAAAATGTGCATGAAACAATCAAGATATAAAAGCTTATTATTAAATGAACCGCCATATGTAATCCAACCATTATGAGCTTTTAAATTTGAAAAAAAGAATTTGGGCATTTAAGATTAAATATTAAACTCCAGATTTAAAATATCAAGCTTTAACGTTAAACGTTATTGCGATGGTTTGAACGTATGAAATTAGATCAATTTGAATTAGTACTCTTTTAATTGACTTTATGTAATATAATCTTTGTAGACAACATCGACTTTAAAATAAATCGAAGTCATAGTTGAAGAGTTCACACACGACTAGGTTTTACGTCCGTGGTATATATACACATGATTCGCACTCAAATCAAACAGCGTAAAAAAAGTGAACACGTCCAACGGACATGGGTATAGTATGGAACCATTCACTGTGTTCAAACTCGCCATGTTAAATCTTCTATGTGCATGCTTGTAGTTTTGAAATAAGAATAAACTGAATGGTAATAAATCTTCATTTTTCATATTTTAGATTCAACACATCAAATTTACTTGTTGCCATATTTAAAGATTTTAATTTTAGTGTGAGAAGAACTTGACCTGCTCCAACATAGTTCATCAGAATAATAATTTGGATAAATCAAGTGCAATAATTATACTGATAAGCCTAATACCTTAAGTAATTTATATAATTGTTTAATGATTAAAACCTACCTCCTGTGGAACAGCATAAGTGACGCTGGCCATTGAAATAATTACTATCAAACACAACATCATATTTAACTCAATGATCTTAGGAAAGTTTCTACAGGCAGACAGAAAAAATATCTTAGCAGTTCAAAATTGTATTATGTACTCATATTGCATAGACAAATCGAGAAAAAAATAATAATATTGAATAAAGTGATATCAATCCATAGCAGTAGATTATGAGTATACATTAAAATATGCTCATGTACCAGAAGTATGAGTAATTTATGTTGCTATGCAACTGACTTCAACAACTGTTAATTGTTTTTGACTCATATATATATATAACTCATATATAATTGAAAATATATATAGAAAACTGAAAAATACTATGAAACGAAATGAAACTTGAGCAATAATGATCCAAACTCAAAACTATGGACATATCAATTATTAAAAAATAAGATTGAAATTGTAATGGCATTATTACATTTGTATTCACCTAAATTGAATTCCTTTCAATATGGTTGTAATTAAGAATTATCTTATCTTACATTTAGTACTGCCAGA